TTAATTTACAAGTGAACACATTATAATAAGATAAATAAATAAAAAATAATCAGCTAATGAATGGGTAGCTGATCCTAGATGTCTCTTCTAATACATGAGCAGACTGTGACCAGTCTCTGAAATGTTTATGAATTTACATCAAACTCCTAAGAAAAATTTCAGATCCATAATCTTTTCTGGCTTCAATCTAATACACAAACGAGATAATTTCAACAGAATCTTGCTAGTAAGAATGATATGGACAATATCTAAGGCTGGCCAGAGGAATACATGTCATACTGAAGAATCCTTTTGTGTTAGCTGAAATGATGCTGTCCAGACATGAGAGATGTTCAGGCAGAAACACAGTAACCAGTTTCAGTGTTGTTCTGGCAGTTGGGAGAGATCAAGGCATCAAGCAGTCAATTGACGCTACACAAAAAACATCTGTGGGTGAGAAGACAATATTGTAATGCATAACTTCCTCCAACAATCTCTATAGAAGAGACTAGATATGGATGTTATGGGATATTTTCATTGTTTCTATTCACAATGTAAATAAACTGACCAGAAACACAGAGTTCTTCATGACAACATTATCTAGGTCTGGGACAGAGTGAACCAAAATAAAGCCATGTATTAGGTAGGCAAGTTTCCAATAGAAAGAGGGGAAAGGGGGAATGGGGAATAAAAGACAGGAAATATAGAAAGGAAAAAGGACTAATATAAAAAGGAGAAAATGAATCCCACTCCTACAGGTTGTATCAGATTTAAAGACTTCATTTACATTGAACCAAGAATGGTGGACAAAGTATATTTCATGAAATTATTTACAACATCAAATCTTAGGAGCAAGTGAAATAGTTCCCATTTGGTATTATGGTCCACAAAACCATCCAAAGGAAGCCTATTTTCTAAACTAGGGCTGTCAAACTCCTGGCCTGTGGGCCAGAAATGTCATGTGTTGGCCACGCCCATGTCCGGTTTAGCGAAGGGGGAAAAACTCCTGATACATCGCGTGATGCTGCCATGATGATGTGAGTTTGACACCCCTGTTCTAAGGTTTTCAAAAAGGAGTAATGGAATTTTAAGCTTATTGTATTGCTTCCCTTTCATAAACATAAAAACCCAACGGATGTACATAAAGTGGTATGTAAAAAAGGAAAAATAAGTGATACTAGGTGAGCGTTGTTGTAATAAGTTTCAGTGGAAAGATAGCAGTTCTATGTAGTTTTACTAGCAACAAAAATATTTGGCAAAAAAAAAAATAGTTTGCAAAACCCAGGGATAATGAATTCAGATTTCAGTTTTCTCTTTAAAATTTACCCTCAGAATAAAGTGATGCATGTACGTAGTGACTGGAGAGAAATTAAGCTTCATTATTAGATTATTCAAGGCTTAGAATAAATATATAGAATAAAAAGAAAATAAAACATTTGATTGATGAATCCTATAGAAATAACCTTTACTAAAATTAGTAGAAAATTAGTATCCCTGATTGCCCAGGATAAGGTGCCTAGTTAGTTTACTGGCTCCTGGATCTGAGCATTTTCATGTATAGATATTATTAAGTTTGAAAATGATAGTTCATATTAAAAACTTTCTCATTTCCAGACCACTAACATCCTGGTAAAATGCAAACAGCACATCCCAAGCAATTGTGGTTAAGGCATCAAGTGTACTCTTACTGTATTTTCCGGCGTATAAGACGACTTTTTAACACATGAAAATCTTCTCAAAAGTCAGGGGTCGTCTTATACGCCGGGTGTCGTTCTCCTGTAACCAGGCAGACCAGCCCGAAAGGCTCTCACGAGCCTTAAATGGCTCTGGCGATCCAAGCTCTGACGATCCCAGCTTTGCCTGCTAATCAGGCAACTCAGCTGGGATCGCCAGAGCCATGTAAAAGAAAAAAAGTTTTCCCCCTCCAGCTTGCTTACCTTAGCTGCTAGTCGCAATGCTTGCCTTGCTTCGCTTGCCTGAATCCATTCCATCAGCAAGCCACTCCCTGCCTGCAATCAAGCAGGTAGGGAGTTGTGGACTTCAACTCCCAGAATTCCTCAGCCAGCAAAACAAAGCTGGCTGAGGAATTCTGGGAGTTAAGTCTACAAGTCTTAAAGTTGCCAAGGTTGGAGACCCCTGTTCTATTGGGTAAGTTTTTTCCCCCTTTGGGAACTTTAAAAAAAATAGTTAATTGAGGTTTTTTTTAGTTGTTCTTTCTTAGACCTAGCCATTTAAAGTTTAGGAAGTTTTAAATTTAGTTTTCATATAAAAATAAAAATAAAATGAAAAAAAATAATATTTGTGCAGCTTTCTGAGATTTAGTGTGTTTCCGTAGTGTTTCACTCTAACTACACAAACACACAAAATCTCACAAAGCTGTATGTGGAATTTTGTGTGTGTAAAGTGTGAAAGTTGTTTTTTTGGGGGGCTTTTTGTGGCTGTGTGAGGTTCCTGCTTGTTGCAGGGGCCATTTTGGGTCTAGCACAGCTGCTTTTACATTGTGGGTGAGCCAGTTGTGTTGTGTTGTGTGTGTGTAAAGTGTGAAAGTTGTTTTTTTGGGTTTTTTGTGGCTGTGTGAGGTTCCTGCTTGTTGCAGGGGCCATTTTGGGTCTAGCACAAAGACCCATTGTGGGTGAGCCAGTTGATGTTTTTTAATTTTTATTTGGTGTGCGTTGGAAGAGGGGTAGTCTTATACGGCGACTATAGCCCAAACCCTAGATGTTAACAGGAAAAGTCGGGGGTCATCTTATACGCCCAGTCGTCTTATACGCCCGAAAATACGGTAACTATGGCAATTCATCAGCAAAGGTGTAATGCAGAAAACAATGATTAGATATCGCATTATCATGGTTGCCATCTTAAATATTTTGATCATGCTCTATGGATACCATTATGAATTGTTATCAATTAGCTCCATCTACTTCATAGTTAAAAAATTAAAATGATCAAAGGATTAGTATATGTTGCTTTAACTTGCTATAGCAAAAGTGGGAAATAGGCTTAAAAAATAATTAGTCACAAGCATGATTTACCAGATGTTTAAGACAATGGACAATTTGAGATAGCCTTGTAAGAGGAGTGGCAGAATCTGGGGAATGGAGTTAAAAGAGGAATCAGCCTAGAATCTATTAAATCCAAACACCCTGTAATTTCATTAACCCTTATTTAGCACCAAAATAGTGCTGTTAGTTGAGTAGATTCCTGTGCATGGGCATGAGCAATAAATTAGTTCAATTGGAACTTCATGTTTGCTCTTGGTCTTTTGTGCCTGACAAGCCTTGCATTCATGATTCAGATTTTCAAGAGATATAATCCAGGTACAGAAGAATAAACAACTCTTCAATAAAGAAATGATTAGTTAAAAAGGAGAAAGGAGGTTTCTATAATGGGATTCCTCAGAGAAAAATGGCATTTTTTTAAAAAAAGTTTTTTTTTAAATGTTCAAAAACATTTCAATAAAATAGACCCAGTCATCAATACATAGTCTACATAAAAGTTAAATGTACGTCAACAGACTAACAGCTTAAATTCAGTTGAAAGCCATATTTCATAATAGTTATAAATAATAATGTCATTATTTTTATCCAGCTTGGGTGAATCGGTAGCGGGGATTGTGGGAGGCTCTACCCACCTGCGTGGATGTCATGACATTGCTTTTTTGTGACATTTTAAACCTCTGTGCATGTGCAGAAGGTATTATTAGGAATTCAATTACCGATATCTTGCTTTATATTTCTATATATATCATCAGTTGTTTTAAATTGCAGGCCCTTAAATTGCACAAATGTTTTCTGTTAAGATATAGCCCTTTTGAAAATACCCAGAATACTTGGTATAAACCACAAAGTTTAATCCAAAAAATCTACATGTATAATCTGAAGATAGATGAATCTAAAAGATTCTCAACTGGGCTCAAATCTGTGATAGAATTTTTCTGGGTTGCAGTCAAGCAAGAAGGCTTGGAAGCAGTGGTTGGTTCCTCCCGGTTCAGCCCGGTTCCCCCAAGCTGGTAGCAATGACGATATGACATCACTGAACTGGTTCTGCCCCCCCTGCTCCTTCCACCCCCGTGTTATTCTTACCTTTTATTTGGCCCCATCCCCAATCTATTGCTGCCTCCTGAGTCCCAGCTGATGGCTAGAGGAAAAAAAAACTATTTAAACTCTTGCCGCGGGGCTTCAGTGTTAAAATAAAACAAATGAGTAGACCGGTGCCTGCAAAAATACATGAATAGATCAGTGCCTGCAAAAATACATGAGTAAATCAGTGCCTGCAAAAATACATGAGTAGATCAGTGCCTGCAAAAATAAATGGGTAGATTGGTACAGCTCTGCAAGCAGTTAAAAGCCTGGAAGACCAGTACCTCTGCTAAATCCTAAATAATTGTCACATGACCATCAAGCCATGCCCACAAAATAAGCCACACCCACAGAACTGGTAGTAAAAAAATTTTAGAACCCACCCCTGCTTGGAAGAGATCCTTCAATTACGTAACAGTAGACAAGAAGGCCTTGTGCTTGCTTAAGAACCTTAATTCGGTTTAATGTCTTTCACTCTAATGACAAGCAGAATTCAAGAGATATATAACAAACCAAAGTCAACACTGAGTTTGTTGGTGGTTTTAAAATAGTAGTTAAAAAATAAAAACAAACATCTTATCACAATGAATATTTCTCTAAGAAGCATACCCAGATGTTGCAAAACACTTAATGTGCAAAACTTCCATGTATCCAGCAGGTGGATTGGGGTAGTCACATATTTTGGTCCATATGAAGAACATGTTCTGTTCTGATAATGGACCAAAATTCAGATATTTAGTGGAGAGTAGAAAAAGCCCTGAATAAAAATGCTGATGGATACTACGGGAGACATCGTTGGAAGAGGTGGATCGAGTGTTGCCCATTTTTGGTGATCCTTCTGGATTCTGTTTTTATCCATAAAAATCAAAATGTTACTGATTTTATTTCTGTCAAACTATGGTTGATATTAGAACATGTAGGATTGCAAACTTGGTGATGATGTTTTATTTAATTAAAATTTTATTGTTAAAGAAAAATAACAAGCTTCAAACGTTGATTAGAGACAATAATTGAGACTGCATAATCTAGTATTAATTTAATGTCAACTATTATACCTCTCATAGAAAAATAGACTTTCTCACAATATACTAATGTGACAAATCAATAAATAAATGGAAACGAGTTAGTCACAGACGCTACAAAATATTTAGTAAAACAGAATAGGAATTCAACTTTTTAAAATTATTAATTTGATAAGATATTATTCTCTGCATATTTCTTTCCTAGAAAGAATCTACCGGTACATAGTAAAACCTAAATACAAAAAAACATGACTGATTCACCTTTTTTTTTTGTTTAAAAAAGGAAAACAGAACAATACACCTTATACAAAAGCATCAGGAAACACTACAAAATATACATTTTCAGTTAGGTTTATTTTAGTTGTATCTATATTTGGAAACTGTAGAAAAGCCTGATCAGAAATTCTAGATATTATATTAGACAAAATATTTTAACACTTAGTACCTTTTTAAGAGCGTGCAAAAAAGGGACCTGAGGACAATCCAAATAAAACCACAGGTATATATTTTTCCAGTAATAGAAATTGTTCTGCAGTTGTGCAATTTAAGCGTTAATAGAACATATGTCCCTAGCTCTGTTAAAAATAAAAATAATCCATGGGATATGCACACATTTTCAGATATTTAAATTTGCCTGGAAATTGCTATCAGTATAAGATACCAATAGAATACCAATAGAAATTCCACCAACATGGTATTAGGATGTGAATTTCATGTATGATGATGTCTTAAATACTATTGTACATACTGCATGCTTAGCCAAAAATTAAACTCTTTTCCAAATTTAGTTGGACTTGCTTCCGGATAAAATTTGGAGCTTAAATATTAATTTTCATTTTAGTCAAGTAGCTTTAATTTGGATCATATCATCAGAGTCGTGATCTAGATTTATTCTCATCTGGCAAATTTGCCTCTTCACCTTTTTCCTGAACAATAGAAAATTGCTTTTATTACTCCAACTGAACGTTTTACATTTTTTTGCATAACAGAAGAATTCGATGCATAACAGAAGAATTCGATGTATTTGACGGTAACATTTTAATTTAAAAAGTTCATTACATTTACTCCTATCTTTTACAGAAAAAAAATCTGTCCAATTTTAGGAAGACTTTGAGGCAAACTAAATGCAAATAAGGAAGTAAATACACATTATGTAGTGATTGATTTCCTGACTCATAGGATTTGTGCTTCATTTGGAAATAGGATGTTTGCAGACTATAGTAAAAAAAAAAAAAAAGATGGTGAATGCACTGGTGCTTGATGCAGAAAAAAAAACCACAGGCCAAGCTTCTTTTTCAGTGTCAAGGCCACCATCTTCCTTCTTTGACCATACTCTGTAGACACTCTTCCTTAGACAAGTGGTTTTGCCTTCTAAGATATACTCAGCTGCCAGGAAGAATAGACTCCTCCAACAGCTTCTGAACATTTGCAAGCATTACTGTCACGGAAATATGTTCCATGAGAATTACTACCGTATAAAATACGTTTGGGATAATTGCTTCCGTATATTTTGAACAAACTGGGCGAAAGCATACTTTTTCACTTTCTTCCAAACTAGTGCAATTAGAAAATCCTGGGCTTCCTATCCACTGAGGTTGGAAAATAAGGAGTAACTGTATCCTTCTAACAGAGTTTTTAATATTCATTTGTTTTCTCCCTGCTTCCACTCTGTCCCAAGTGTTCTGAATAGGAAGACTCATGGATAACTGATTTATTGATTTCTGTCAGTTACCGTTTTCTAGAATGAGATTTGGGAGTTTGTGATTATAATCCCCATCCGTGTAAGCTACTTCTAAAGTGAGAACAGTGCATTTTTACCACAAATGTTTTAATTAATATTCTATAACACAACTAAATAAGTTATATTATGTTAAAGTGCTACAATACCAAATGGCCTTACAAATCAATATAAAATCCAAGTTCCAGAACATTTCCATGTAAGCCAATGTTATCCTATCACTATTAAATGGGATTCAACTGGCTGCTAATCCAAATACATCTTAGCTGCAACCAGTATTTTAATCACATTAAACAGTAGTTAATGCACATTTGTTTTTGTTTTGAACAAGCAGCTCTTTCTGAAACCTAGGCTGTGTGCAACTAGGTTCCCAAGTCAGTTTTTTTTTTTAAATTACAGTGTCCAAAATTGTAAATCCCACAGCATTAAACAATATATTTTAAAAAACATTCTCAACCAACAAAAAAAAGATCAGATGAAACAGGTTCTTGTCTTCAAGAGCTGCATTTGAATGCTTCATTTACTTGTCTCCTGTCAATGTTTATTTCTTCAGGCTTGTCACGCCGGTAAGTTACTGTTTTTGCACAAACGGTAGGCAAGAAGATCTTATCCTTGAAGGAGAAAATATAGCTGGTCAGAAGCTATAAAGCACAACTAACGTTATAATTATGTTCAAGAAAATAATCATCAGTTACCTTTTTGGCTGCAGGCACTCTGTAACCTGCTGAAGACTTGATTCTACTATGGTCACAATATACAATTATCTGACGGATTATGCACACTTTAAGCAAACCAATCAAAAATGTTATTATAAATATAATGAAAAATATTCTGAAATAACTCGTATCATCAGAAAGGCATTCTGCAATGAAACAGAAAAAACAAAAAATAAAAATTGACCATCACACTTATAATATTGTGAGAAAATCCAGACAACATATTTAGACTACAGAACAAACAGCTTACTAAGTCAATTAGTTAACTAACCAATTTATATTGACAAAGTTTGTTCATGTTAATAGGAACTCTTTAATAATAAATAGGAACAAACCAATAATAAACTATTTATTGTTTGAAGTACATCTTGTCTTTCTGCTGAAATATAGTTACTACTTAAGGTCACACAAAAATTATATAAAATTAAAAGAGAAACAACAAAATTACTGATTTAGTCAAAGAGGGTTATTTTTTACTAATTTTGTAAGTAAGAACAAGTTTAGTTAATGCACATCTTAAGGAGCACGTAAAATAACTTGTAATTTTTGCAGGATAAACACAAAAGATTGCCTCTAAAACTTGAAGTAAAGTCAAAAGAGCTGCTCCTATAGGTCTTAAAATACGAAAATATTTCATAGTCAACTAAGCCTTTAATTGGAGGTCTGCATTCCATTCTACCTGCACCTCTCTTTCTGCCAATTATTTTCTAATGTTTTTTAGAATCTCTTGAGGGTTATCCATATCTGCTATTATTCTTCCATTGCAAGTAACTGAGTTGTTTTTGATATATAAGATAAAGTTTTATTCAAGTCAACTTGACAGACATGATCGACTTGCAAAATTTCTGTGGAATAATAAGGAAATGATTTGGCAGTATGTCTTTCAATGTGTTTCTTCAAAATTCCCCATCTATATATTAAGGAGATTTGATTTACCATTCTGAGATTAACTAAAGTCAGCTAAGTGCATCAATTATTTGAACAATTATATTTGTGCTTTCAAATCAGTGGTGAGTCCTGGTGACTGCCTGGATTAAAACCTGTAGGTTTATTGGCAAAACTTTTAGGAGTAGTTTGCTATTGCCTTCTTCCTAGGATCAAAAGAGAGTGACTGGCCCAAAGTCACCAAGTATGCTTGATGACTTTGGGCCAATCGCTCTCTTTTAGACCTAGGCAACATAAAAGTCAACAACATTAAACTAGGTCTAAACGTAGCGAACACACCTTAATTATTATTCTGGAAAAGCCTAGGAGTCCCAAGTGAATCTCACCATATATAGACACAAACAGAATTGGAATGATCATCAAGATGATATTTTGCCTAAGGAAGTATAAGCTGCTACAAGTGGTGCTTGTACATTGAAAAAATTCTCAGAAAGAAGAAGATGAGATTTTCTTAAAAGTTAAAAAATAGCTGCACATTTCTTTCAATGGGATATGCAATAAGGACAGTCTTATATGCAGAAATGACAATATATAATGATGATCTGAGAGAACCGTTTCTTCTTGAATTATTCTGGCCAGTTTTTCCAGTAACAAAATTAATTCTCAAAGATCTTAGACTGTTAATAATCAACATTTTCAACATCTAAAGCTATTCTAATAAGCTACATTGTAGCGCTGTTTGTTACGAGCACAGAAGAAGAGGGGTGGAAAAAATCCCTTTCTAAAAAAAGCTGATTTCATACAAGTTTACTTCTAATTTGATTAAAGCTGGGGGATTTTTTTAGAGGACTTTGTGGTGCTGGAAGAAAAAGAAAAAGGATTTCTCTTTTTAGAAAATCTAACTCACGTGATAAAATGGCTTCTAAAAAGCAGGAAAGCAAGGCAACAGGGGGGGGGGATCTCCCACACACAAGCCTGAAGAGCAGTTTGATTTTGAAAGCTTAAAAAAATTTATCACGCAGGCTTTGGATGATAAATTTCAAAAATCTCAACAGGAAATTAAGCAGGAAATTACTGAAATGAAAAATTTGGTGAAAGAGAATTATGACAAGGTGACTGATAAATTATCAAACGCAGTTTCTGGCCTGTCAGAAATTATTATCAAAGTGGATTCCAAATTGGAAGAATTTAAATCAGAAGTGAATGTTAAAATAAAGGATACTGATTTTAAAATTTCTGACGTGGATAATAAAATACAGAGAGTTGAAGATGAAATCACGATGATGAAATTCCGGTCTATGGAATTTGCCATAAGAATTAGAGGGATTAAGGAGAGTGACTGGCAAGATTTGAGACAGATTTGTGCTGATGCCTTGGCTGTGTTGTTAAAAATTAATCCTGATGAGATCTTTTACAAAATAGATAAAATTTACAGAGTGAACTCATGGGTGGCCAGACAAAGACAATTACCAAGAGATGTGGTGATATACTTCACAGATAGAAGAATGAGAAATGATATTCTGCAAAAATCTTTCCTTTCCTCTGTGCAAGTTGAGGGAACTGAGGTTGGAATTTATAAAGAACTTCCACCAAAGATGCTGAAAGATAGAAAAGATTTTGGTTTTTTAGTAAAGGAATTAAACAAATTAGAAATCCCATTCAGATGGGATGCTCCAACGGGCATAATTTTGAAATATCAGGGGGAAAGACACCGACTGAATACTGTTGAGAAAGCAGAATATTTCTATTATAATGTTTTCAAGGAGAGATCACCATCGCCACGTTCATCTACTGTATTGGAGATAAAGGAGAGTGAGAAGGAGAAGCAACCCCAGCAAGAGTTGGAAGTGCAGCTTAAGCAGATTGAATTAGACCCAACAGAAGCGCAGGGTGCTGTAGGAGGTTTTCTGGAGGAACCCCTGTTAGAATCCTCTCCAATTCTGACTACAAGAGATGTGGCATTGGACCTAGAGCGTATGGTTGAAGCTAAAGACCAGCGAATAACCCGTGCAGTTTCAAAACAACTTAAAGAAAAACAATTGCAAGAAAGAGCTATGGCACAACAATATAAAAAAGGAACTAAGAGTACTACAGAACAAAGGGAAGCCATGGGGAGAGCAAAGTCGGTGGCCTCGGAAGACATCCGGCAATCTTGCTCGTTGCTTCAAAAAGGTATGCATGATGGTTAAGTTTTTGTCTTGGAACGTGAATGGACTGAACTCACCACAGAAAAGGAAGAAAATATTTACATATTTACAACAATTTAATAATGATATAATTTGTTTACAAGAAACTCATATTAGAACGCAAGATCAAAAATATTTGATAAACTCAAAGTTAGGAATACATTTTACAGCCTCAAATTTGGAAAAAAAGAATGGAGTGGTTATTTATATAAATAAAAGATTGTCAGCTAAAATTATAGAGGCAGATGAAGGTGGTAGGTTTGTAGCAATTGAACTGTGTACTGCATATGGCCAAATTCTTGTGATTGGGATTTATGCTCCTAACCAACAGCAGGATCATTTTTATAAAATTTTGCATACTAAAATACTGCAATGGGACTATAGATCAATTTTGATTATGGGAGATTGGAATGGAGTAATTGACTCCAAATTACACAAAAAAAGTCTGGTGAAGTCAAAGATTAGACTACCACAAACTTTTTTTGAAATGAAAGAAGATTTGGAACTAAAGGATGTTTGGAGAATACATAACTTAAAAGACTTGGATTATACTTTTTTTTCTGACAGACACAGATCTTTTTCAAGGATTGATTTTATTTTAGTATCAAATGATTTACTTGTTAAAACAAAAAGAACTAAAATCTTTCCAAGAACTTTATCTGATCACAGTCCAGTATGGATAGAAATCGAGACTGCAAAAATTGAGAGAAGATCATGGAGACTAAATGAAAATCTGTTTAGATATGAAAAAAATATAATTGAACTCAAGAAGCAGATGAAAGAATTTTTTGATATTAATTTGAACAAGGGTACCCCTATTGAAATTGTGTGGGACGCGAGTAAAGCATATATGAGAGGGGTACTCATTCATATGAACTCTAAATATAAACTGAATAGACAAAAGAAAAGAGCTGAAATTGAAGTAGAAATAAAGAAAAAAGAACAGTTACTTATTAAAAATCCAACAGATGAAAGAACACATAGTGCTATAAAACTTTTGAAAGACCAATTTCAAATGCTTATGGCGGACCAAGTTGCAACAAATTTACAATATGCAAAGCATAATACATTTTGTAATGCCAATAAACCGGGCAGATGGCTGGCTTATACTTTAAGGAAGAAGCAGAGTATGCGGACCATCAATTGTATTGATATTGGAGGGACAGAAATTTATCAACAAAAATTAATTAAAGAAGTTTTTGTAGATTACTATACTAAATTATATGCTAAAGAAGATATACAGAATGGACTTATAGAAAAATATCTAGAAAATAAAAGAATTACAAAAGTTACTAATCAACAAAAGGAAAGACTGAATCATCCTATAACAGCTGAGGAGATAATTGCAGCAATAAAACAACTAAAAACTGCCAAAGCTCCAGGAACAGATGGCTTGACTGCAGTGTATTATAAAACTTTGCAAGCAGAAATGGTGGAACAACTTAGAGACTTATTTTGTAATATACAACGAGGGGGTAAAACAGCTTATATTTCTTTGATACCAAAAGAGCAAGCAGGTCCTAAAAAACCGGAAAATTATAGGCCAATATCTCTTCTGAATAATGACTACAAAATTTATGCAAAAGTATTAGCCAACAGGTTGATGCCAGTAATTAAAGAGGTGATTCATGATGATCAAGCGGGATTTATAGAGGGTAGATACATGAAGGACAATGTAAGGCAAGTAATAGATTTATTGGAATATCTTGAGAAGAATAAACAGATCCCTGCAGTGCTGGCTTTTTTGGATGCGGAGAAAGCCTTTGATAGAGTGGATTGGAATTTTCTATTAAAGACTTTGGAAAAAATGGATTTTGAGGATCAATTTATACTGGCGGTTTCAGCAATTTACCAAGAGCAAAAGGCACAGATTATCATTAATGGAAGTTTGACAACAGACTTTAAAATTGAAAAAGGTACAAGACAAGGTTGTCCGTTATCCCCTTTGTTATTTATTTTAACATTAGAAGTCTTGTTGAACACAATAAGGGATTCGACCAGCTTGAAAGGTATAGTGATAAGGCAAGAAGATTACAGAATAAGGGCATTTGCAGATGATCTGGTTGTTACCCTAACGCAGCCGGTGGAATCAATAATCCTGATGAAAGACATTATAAAAGATTATGGTACAGTATCAGGATTTAGACTGAACCAGAAAAAAACTAAACTGATAGTCAAAAATATGACACAAGATCGAAAACATGAACTTGAAAAGAGGGCAGGTTTTGAGATTGTTTCAAAGGTTAAATACCTAGGAGTTCAGGTTGAAGAATCTAATATGAAACTGATTCAAAATAATTATGAGGTGTTGTGGCGAGAGGTACAAAAAGATATGGAGACATGGAAAAAACTGCAACTTTCTTTACTTGGAAGAATAGCAGCAGTGAAGATGAACATTTTGCCAAGATTTCTTTTTTTGTTCCAAATGATTCCGGTGCTTAAAAGTGATAAACAACTGAAAGAGTGGAAAACTGGAGTGAATAAGTTTGTCTGGAATGAGAAAAAACCGAGAGTTAAATTGAAAATTATGCAAGATGTTCCAGAAAGGGGAGGTCTCAAACTTCCAAACCTACAGTTATATTATGAAGCAGCAGCTTTGACTCAAGCAAGCGATTGGTTTGGAAGGAAAAAGACTGGAATATTGAATATAGAAAGTTTTGATCTCGAATTTGGTTGGCACGCTTACTTGTTTTATGAAAACAAAGTGGATAAAGTATTTAAAAGTCATATACTTAGAGATTCTCTGATGAGAGTATGGGAGAAGCACCGAATCAAATGGGATTAGAAAATACCGTTGTGGCTGGATCTTGGTCATATTATTTGGAATACAAATATAATGTCACTCGGGGGGGGTTATATAAAGAGGTTCTTTTTACAGATGTGGGCAGATGGCAACTGAAGACATTAGAGACACTGTTGGGCGAAGGGATTAACTTAACCTGGTTACAATATAATCAACTTCAACTGAGATGGAAAGAGGACCAAAAAACTGGTATTATGTTGCATGAGGAAGAGTTGGTTAGACATATAAAAGAGAAAGGTCCAATGCATATCAAAAGGCTATATAATGTTTTGTTAGAAAGGGACTCAGAAACTGAATTGGTTAAAGATTGCATGATTAAATGGGCACAGAATTTTGCAGAACCAGTAATGTTGGAAACATGGGAGAAAATATGGGTTCAGAATGTTAAATTTACGCAATCGCAGAATTTGAGGGAAAATTTTTATAAGATGTTTTACAGATGGCATTTAGATCCCAAGAAATTATCCTGTATGTATCCTAATGTTCAGCCAAAATGTTGGAGATGTGATTGTTTAGATGCTACATATTATCATGTTTGGTGGAATTGTAAGAAAGTTAAGGCTTTTTGGATAAAAATATGGTGGGTTATGCAGAATATTTTGAAGAAAAAAATTCCATTTTCTCCACAATTGTTTTTATTGGGTATAGTAAAGGGTTTTACACAGGATGAAATTAAGTTGATAATGTACATGATAACTGCAGCGAGATTATTGATAGGTAAATATTGGAAAAATGAAGCTTTACCCACTATCGAAGAATGGACTTTGAAGATGGCTAGTTTTGCCGAGATGGCGAAGATTTCAGCATATTTAAAAGATCGCTCACAAGAGACTTATGAATGGGAATGGAAAAAATGGATAGATTATGTGCAGAACAAATATCAAGTTAGAAAGTACCAAATAGTTTTTCATTGAAAGTATTATATAAAAATAGAAATGTATGAAAACTGTGAAGATAAAAATTTTTTTAAGGGGGTCTGAGGGGTTCAAGTTTTATAAAAAGGGGATTTTGATGGGATTATTTTTTGTGGAAGTCAGGGGGGGAGGGTTAGGGGAGGTTTGGGGGGGTTAGGGTGGGGTGTGGGGGCTGGGATGGGGGGGGGAATGGGGTGAAAATGTAATTGTAAAACTTTTGCAATAAAAAAAAAAGAAAAGAAAAAATTCTCAGAAAGAAGAAGATGAGATTTTCTTAAAAGTTAAAAAATAGCTGCACATTTCTTTCAATGGGATATGCAATAAGGACAGTCTTATATGCAGAAATGACAATATATAATGATGATCTGAGAGAACCATTTCTTCTTGAATTATTCTGGCCAGTTTTTCCAGTAACAAAATTAATTCTCAAAGATCTTAGACTGCTTAATAATCAACATTTTCTCAATAGTACATTTACTGTTATTAGGTATTGATTTCCATAGGAAAAAGATATTGGTCTTAGAATATACATGTATGTATATACATATACATACATTATAAACATTATAAACATGTATATTTACAAACATTCCTCTGAGTTTTCATAATCAAACTGAAAACTGAATGAGATTCATATGTGAGAAAAAAAAATCTAAGTGTTTAGCAACATGCTGGTGAAAGAAAGGGCGGAAGAAGCAAAAGATACACTAAAATATAAAATTTGATTACAGTTGTAAATTAATCTACAGCCATTAATTTACAGACAGTATCTATTTTTAACTATGAGTTCTATTAAAAGAAATTGTACAGGCAAATTTATATCTGAGGATGAACAAAAATTTCATAAACAAAACTCTTGCTTAAAACTCATACCAATGAAAACTCTAATTTAATAATTAGGCTGAAGAAGGCTGATATATAAATAATTCAGTTGGTATTTTTTTGCCTACCTGATCTTTCAAGATAATGCATTCTATAATTGCAAGAGGTTTTGCATTGGCCAAGTGTATTATGTGAAGAGTTGAAGTGTCGGCAGGATTCACAATTGCTATAAGACAAAATTAAGCAGACCGGGTTTTAAATTTTATTTTTCTCTCTGGACCTCATAGCAATACAAAATATTAGCCATGGATGTAAGTCTGCACATTGATTCATGGTCTCAGTATCAATTAGAATAAGAATTATTATTTCTTGTTTAATCAAGGAAATGGTTTGAAATCAAATATGCCATCATCAAGATTTCATCTAGCTATGAATAGAAAAGGCTTCACAAAAAATATTATAATTTATTTTGTCTTTCTTGCTCATTATGCCATATTTCATTATGCCATATTTCCCTGCTTGACAATGATCCTTGAAAGGAAAGGTGGAATCTATGCTGCAACAATATATTTCAAAGTTCACTTTATACAACAATCATAATTTCACCTCAGCCCTTCTCAATACCATCTCATTTAAATGGACTTTGTCAAGATGTACAAAATATTTTGAGCTTGAAACATACACCTCAGATACTATATTTATATTTTTATACATCTTCTCAGTTCTATAAGGAGTCTGGACAAAGAGATAGAATTTTGAACATTCAGCTCTTTGAAAACAAGTTAGGAGAAAGTTGGTCTGACCGAACTTTTTAAAACGTTCTGACTGCAAAACAAAATATTTATTTTTTAAAACATTCCAAATCTCTTCCCTTAAAGGCTGTCATCTGGTGGGACTTTGGAAGCATATAACTTTTCTGTAGCCCTCCCACCTGATTTAAGAGACTCTCTCTTTTTTAGCTTTCTGGAAGGCCATGGAGACCTATCTCTTCACCCAAACACTGAGCTAGGATGGGAATCAAGCGAGAAGGTCAATAGTTTGGCTGGTCTGTCTTGTGGGAAGGATTAGCATTTTTATTCTACTTTTATTGTTGTTTTTATTGGTTGTTTTGAGCCACCTAGGATCACTTTATGAGATAAGCAGCTGTTAAGTTTTTTATATTAAATAAATAATGAATGAGAATAGCATCTCTAGGCAATTCTATTTGTCTCTTGTCTCATTTTAAGATGCCTCTTCCTCCTTTTCTTCCTCCTCCTCCTCCTCATTGCAATTAATCTACCCTCCTGAAAGCCAAAAAACTATGTCACAGACAATTGATATGTTTTCTCTCCCTGAAACACCTAAAAAATTAAAAAGCAGAATCAAACTACTCTGTGAAGCAAAAAGTTCATGGAGTATTTAATATATTTGGATTTAGAATTTTTTTTTTTAAAAAAAATAACAAATATTTCCAAAACCACAAACTTACCGCATGTCTTTGCAAACTTTTCTACAAGAAGGACAGAATTCACACAAACGTCCTAAACTGTTGGGGTCAGCACATTTGCATTTTCCACACACACAAGTTCCTCTTCCACTGCAGATTTGGCCATTTGAGTTCATGCAGTGTTTTTGCAAGGATAAGGTGCACTGACAGCGATCACCTTCCCAGCCCCTAAAACACTTGCATTTGCCAGCCTCACATTCTCCATTGCCTACATAAGCAGAGCAAAAAAAAAAAAAAAGGAAGGAAGGAAGGAAGGAAGGAAGGAAGGAAGGAAGGAAGGAAGGAAGGAAGGAAGACCTGATTACTTTATTTCCTAGAAGTCCCATTAGAGACTTGTTCTGTATTATATTTTTAAGCAAACTCTTTAGAACAAATGTCATCCTACTTCATTATGAAACCATAAAGTGTATATTTATAAGAAAAATACTTAAAATATGAAAAATGTCTTTGATTCAACTGAGATTTTATCCCTGAACAATACACTTGTTGTGAATTGTAAGTAGCACTTTAACATCAAAGCATCAAAGTTCTTAAATTCATTAACTGAATTCCAATTGCTTTATCCAGCACAACAAAATAGCTATTATCTTTAAAAATGTACTGACACCTCAGGCCTTATTGTTCATATATACCACTACTCCAAATCTTGTTCAACTTAATTAAGGTTTGTCAATTAAACATTTTCAGGCTCTTTTAAATGATTCTGTTATTTTTTTCTTTGTTGCAATGTACATTCTTTAAAATAATTGCACTGTTTCTCTTTCTTCTTGCATATAAACACTGCCAACCTTTTCAGACGTGGTCCAGACCCACTTCCAATACTGGGGAAATCACTTTAAAAAAATGGCAAACCAATTCTGCAATGTCTAGACTGGAGTGTTTTAGAGAGAAAAAATCTAGAATATTGTTATTGTATTGTTACCATCTATTTTTGCTTATACAATTCTGTGTTTCAATAGTGCTTTACAAGAATGCAACTGTGGGTGTGTGGATGTGTGTGAGAGAATATGCTCCTTAGCCTGGGATTTGGTATTAAGACAGATTATAAATCATATGACAAGGACTAAAATATGAATAAAACATTATAAAATTCCATCCTTACCAGCACATAGGTTTCCAAGGTAATATGGGCAGGAAAAGTCATCTTTTTCACAGTATTTACCATATATTGTACCATATTTGTTTTTATAACAAATGCATTTCCCATGTACACATTCTCCCTGTCCACTGCAAAGAAGATGATCCTGTTCCATCTTACATTGCTCCGAAGATAATTTTTCACTAGAACCACAGACTCCGTCCTTGCAGGTGGATATTTCATCATCATGAGGGGTTTCACTGATGCAGATTTTTTTGTATTTTCCACTGTCCTCACATTGACACACACATCTTTTGTGGATGTTAATTCTAGAGGATTCGTTGAAACCAAGGGGTTTTATCATCACATGGTTTCTTCTGCCAGTTGTACCACATTCTTTCATGGCAATAGAAACATTAAAGTACACCTGGGATTAAAAATATGAAGCATTCAAATTACTTTGAACATCATACAAAATGTCTTAATGGAAATTTAAGAGAAATGCACATGAGAATTTTGTGTTGATTTGGAACCAACCATGCATTTCAATTGAACTATTGCAGAGGTGGAAAATGAGCATTTTGGATGAATGATATTGTACTTCTATTTTTCTACTGCAGGACTCTTGGTTTTGATTCTGTTCTGATTCCTAAGCTTCACTGTTCTGTAAAAGAAATGCTAGCTTGACCCATTTGCAATTCCCACTTATAAATAAATGACTTCAAGTCAGTAAGACTTTTGGTAAAATGTATGAGTATTTACAACGACTTGACAAAAGCATACAGGAATTCTAGAAAATAAATGTTAACTTGATTTGAACTTATTGGAAAGTCTAAAAATAAACCTTTTGGTTTAAGATTAATTTAAAATAAAGCTCCAAAAAAATTAATCCATGGCAGAAACATGGAGAATGTAAGAACTTTAATCCTCTGAAATGCAATTTTAAACCCACAGAAAGCCTTCTATTGAAAAATGTCCACGATGTCCACGAACAAAATATTTCATCTCCCTTGTTAAAAAAAGAAATGTTCATACTACAGTTGATGATTTCACATTCTTGCATCCCTCTGAACCCATTTTTCTACTTCCATCAGGACAGATTGCAATAACTTTGACATGTATATCTTTGAGGGTGTTATCGACCTGAATTTTCACTTCAGAAAGCAGCTTCTAAAACAAAATAAAATAAAAATAATGATAGTACTGCAGCAACATATACTACCTATTAGCAAGCTCTAATCAATTCAATTGGAGTGAAATAACCTGTCAGTCCAGGAATAAAGGAGACAATTGTTTTCTGCACAGATTTTTATTTTCACAGCTGTGTGATTCAATGCTTAGGATGATCTTCCTTTTCATTTTGATGCCACAGAATGGCATCATATTACCTTCCTAATTGGACATTATGTGTAAGTAAGTGCTTAGGTATTAAAGAGCAACTTGTCTGAACTGTCTGCTACTAGTTCAAGATTATGAGACTTTCTCACCTGACTGATGTCCAACCCTTTCCACCAATACTACCTAAAGCACATAGAAACAAGAACAGCTGCAGAAGTGTGTGTGTCATTTGAAAAGCAAGAATGCAGCAGCAATGTAAAAAGGGGATGGGGGTTGGATCATATGGTAGTCTTCCTCGTTCATCATCCTCCATTAAGTAAAATATACAATTTTAAATGGTATGGATTGTTGCAAATTACTCTTTTAAACATGCTGCATTGAGTCAAAAAGGATGAAATGCATTCATAATTTTTTCTAAAACAGTACTTTAATCTAACGATATATTTTTCAATTTGCATACAATGCGATAGAATAATTGCACATATCATATATACACTACATATTCAGTGGCTTTAAGTAGTGGCTTTACCTTTGAAGAAGAAGAAGAAATAAAAACATAGCTGGGATTTTCATAATATAAATATAACAACACAAATTTATGACATTATAAGCAAAATGTGTTTATATACTATGTAATAACAAAAATTATTACCGTCAAATGCACATATTGTGCCATAGTCAGTGCTGAAGAACAAAACGCTGAATTATATGAATCACAGCAAAATCATAGATATGCTAAGAATTATCTATGATAAAAATATCATATACCTACATAATAAAATACTACTAGCACTAGGAGTAGCACAACCTAACTGAAAATTGGCATGAGGAAACAGAAAGATAAGTGTGTTAAAAAAAACCTGCAGAAGTACCAGGCTTTTTCTTTAACAGTACTGAGGTAAGCAATCTGCCTTCCAGATTTTTTGGAATATACCTTCCAAAATCCTGCCATAAACCAAGTTATCTGAGGTTACAGGAAGTTGAGTTGAATTCCAAAACATCTGCAGGATTTTCAGTTTATTTCTCAAAACAATCCAATATTTCATACTATTAAAAAGATCCTCATTGATATGAAAGTTGTAGAACTCTTAATATCTTTTACTCAGTTTATTGTACATATATCAATTCTAATTGTTATCTCAAAAAGCAATTCCTTAAAGCAAAAACTGCAACCACATTAATTTATAAAGGGAATTGTATTTTTATATTTTATGGCGATACATGTACACATTGAACACCTTCCTCTATCATACATCTAGAATCTACAGAATATTAAATTCAATAAAAACCATATAATAATGATATATTAGTGTCACTGGAACATACCTTGTAAGCTTCTAGTACCAAATCCCCAAGATTTGCTGTCTCTGATTCTATCTGTTTTGCAACAGTCCCTGGTAGCAGAGGCAAAAGATCCTGTGAAAATATTAGTTTATGGTTATAATGCCAGTGTATATCTTGTCCCCAAGTAACATAATTGTTTTATTTTTAAATATACCTTATACCAATGATATTGGCTTCCTTGGACTGCAAATATTACATTAATATTGTTGTCTATGAGCTTTTCAGAAAGTTGGCCAAGTGATGGATACTCCTATAAATCAGAAAGAGGATTCATAATGTGGCTTTCATAGATTATTAGAATTACCATTTCTAACGTTTTGGTTAAATAAACTAACGTATATTCACATCATTGGTGGGATTCAGCCTGTTTTCTCCAGATCACACAAACCAGTAGCGGCGATGGCAGGAGGCTCTACCCACCCAACCTGGCGTAACATGCGCCTACTTCGCATGCACAGAAGGCCGTGCACATGTGCAGATGAGCCGTGTGTGAGTGGAGTGAGCACAAGTGTGAGTGCACTCACATTTGCAAACCAATAGGGAAGGTAAGCAAATCCCACCACTGGTTCAGATACACATGAATATAAATAATTCTTTAATAATTCATATCTCTTTTAAAAAATAACAAACTACATACGCACATTTAATTTAGGACCAGGGCCCTTCATACAATTTATTAGCCATCTATGAACACGTAATAAAATTCAACCATCGTACTGAACACTTACTGAAACTCAACATCGTCACAACCATTGCCAAGTAATGGAGAGGCTACAAAATTTCCTAGTAAGATAATTTTGTATAAATCATCCATTTCATATTAATAGTCCACAATGCAACTTAATCTACTCTTTAACAAGATAACCTTTTTTCCTGCTTAGTAGCATAGATGAGTTACAAAAGTATTATTAATCATCCCAAGTATAAGGGCCAAAACTGGCAAGACAGAAACCAGAGAACTGTTAGGCAAACATTTACCAGCTGTTTCTTGTGACTGTCAAAAGTCTGTCTAAGCAGCCATTTACTTGAAAAGGCAGAAGAAAAAGGCTTAAACTCTGGGAGACAGACTACATAAAAAGTTTGACTTTTTTGCACTGCAGTGGCCAAATCAGCTGTGCATACATGGCTTTGTTCTTCTTGCAATAAAGAGCCTAATTTAGCTGAATCTTGTGTAAGTCTTCTACTGTGTAGGCCAAATTCTTAGTAGGAGGTAAAGTATATGGACAAGCAAGATTTAATGCCAAATCCGAGCATGGAGCTAGTCACCAAGCTTTTTATGATTAAAAACTGGTGAATATATAGTTGCATTAAAAAAACCGCCAGATAGCCCTGGTCAATTTGCATGTTTTGATGAATTCTTATATGAATAAACGCTGGTACATTCTTTAACAGATTCTGAATGTTCGCTAAAACCAGCAAAGAGTTTGTCTAGAGTATTTTTTTAAAAAACTACAATTATTTACAGAACTCTTCTGTCTAAAAAATATTTTTACGTCTCCTTTCAGACTGTGCATGTTTCATATCTCCTTATAAATTTTAAATAGCATTTGAATCTGAGGATTTTAATGGCCATTCCAGTTTGCTCCTGACATCTTCCAGCTTTATTTCCAAACTTCATACAGAATGGAGAAAATGAACATGGCTACAGACTAAATTTATGCTACTTGTTCAATAAATAGATCTTCTCAGTAGGTTTTCAATTTTTTAAGTTTTTTAGGATATTTAAGTTTTGAAACACTTAAAGCACACAATGAAATACTTTTAAATTAAAGAAATATGATGCTATAGTACCGTGATGGCAAACCTATGGCACGCGTGCCACAGGTGGCACACAAAGCCATATCTGTGGGCACACGAGCATTGCCCTAGCTCAGCTCCAGCCCGCATGCGTCCACTGGCCAGCTGACTTTTGGGCCTTTTGGGCCCACTGGAAATCAGGAAATGGGCCGTTTCTGGCCTCCGGGGGAATGGGGAAGGCCGTTTTCGCTCTCCCCGGGCTCCTAGAAAACCTCTGGAGCCTGGGGAGGGCAAAAAATGGGCCTACTGGGCCCACCATGCCATCATGTGCCAAAAGTGGGGTTGCACAGGGGGGGTCATGCGTGCATGCACAGAGGGCTGGGCACATTGAATTATGGGTGTGGACATGTGCGTGCTCAACCTCCCCCTTCTCCCCCCCGCTTTTGGCACACAATGGCAAAAAGGTTAGCCATCACTGCTATAGTATTTAAAAATTCTGAACACTGTTTTTCTGAATGAACTGAGACTTTTAAGAGAGCAACATATGTACAAAAGAAAGATGCGTGTAGGAATTTCACAAAAAATTATTTACTATGGCAATTTTTTTCCATTCTGGATACAGTTACAATTGCTAAAGTTTCTTGACTTTAAAAAGGCAAAGCAAAGATTACAACACAGAACCTAATGAGATATCAATTAATCAACCTAACCAATCAACAACAACAAAATTGTGCGGTCACATTTCAACTTCAAAGAAAATTTTCAAAACAATGAAAACCTTAAAGAAGAAATCAAGTGGGTTTATGTTTTCCAAAACAATTAGGTATTCTGAAAGTCAAGAAAGGGACAACCTTGTAAAACCATGCAAGTGCTTTAAGAGAGGTACTTTGCATTATGCAGGAAAATGCATAAATCATCTCGGTTTGCATCATTAAAGCAACTCTTTTTCTAAGCTTGTACAACTTTAGAAACTGCTTCTAGATCTCCCTGCATGCATGTCCAAGCTTAATCACTTCAATTTTATTGCAAAGGGATATATGGGGAGGGAGGGGGAGAGAATGTTGTATAAAGCCAGTTTTCAATTTTTAATGTCCCTAGTATCTAAGAGAAAGATCTGCTCTATATTTTTCTTGCGACTCTGACCAAGAACAAATGTATTAAGTATTCTTCCTGATCAATTAAAACCATGAAATAATTTGAATAAGATAGTTTGAACAGAAGTTCCTATCTCTCAGAACATGATTCCCACAAAGGTATTTTGGAATTAGTCCAAAAGTAACACTGCATTATGACATATACCTTACCATACTGTTTGCTTTGATATACACGTTCTCTTTCAAATGACATTTTCCATCATTTGGAATTACTATGCCTGCTAATTTACTGTCAAGAGCCAAATGAGATGTCTGATCAGTCATCATGAGAAGTAGACGTTTTGCTTCTTTACGCCAACCAATATGGCTCTGCAATAAATAAAGGAATGTTAAGCTATGTAGTTTAGTTTCTTTATTGTCACTGCACCTCGTTCAACGAAATTAAATGCCATATTCAGTGTACATTATAACTATTTATATATCTTTTATTAATTGAAAAACCCGATATTGCATTAATATTGCACTATACAGTAGAATTCAATATAGTTACTGCTCTGGGGTAGCAGCTATTTTTGTCCTTGTTTTTATTATCCTGTACCGTCTGCCAGGTGGTAATAGTTCAAAAAAAGGGTGCCCAGGATGAGATGGATCTTTAAGAATGTTTTGAACTTTCTTAAGGCAGTGGAAGCTATAAAGCTCTTCCAAAGAGGAAGAACGCAACCAATGATCCTTTGGGCAATGAAGTTAACCCTCTGGAGTGCTATCCTATCTGCCACTGTGCAATTGGCAAACCATACTCTCTATGGTGCAGTGGTAGAAGGTCACCAGCAGTTTTTCATTCAGTTGTCTTAGGTAGTATAATCTCTGCTGGGCTCTTTTGACCAGTGCTGCAGTGTGAGTGCTCCGGGTCAGGTCTTTTTCTATGATAATACCCAGAAACTTAAAACTGGCCACTTGCTCCACTCGGTCTCCATTGATAAACAAGGGCTAGATGTCTGATCTATTCCTTCTATAGTCTGCTATAAGCTCCTTGGTCTTATTGGTGTTAAGTACTGTCTCCACACCATGAAAGCAACTGGTCCACCTCATCTCGATAGGCAGACTTCCCCCCCCCCCCGGAGATGAGTCCCACCACTGTTGTATCATCTGCAAATTTAGCAATAGTATTACTAGCGTGAGTGGGAATGCAATCATGCACATAAAGAGTATAGAGTAAGGGACTCAATACGCAATCCTGTGGTGTACCAGTGTTAAGATAAGGGCTGAAGAGATATGATTACCTAATCTGACCCTCTAAGAGCGGCCAGACAGGAAATCCATAATCCAAAGGCAGACTGAATAACTGTTCTGCTCCAGCTATGGACCCCAAAGAACACAGCACACACAAACTCTGTACAAACCTTAGTTTACTAATTAAGGACTATTAATAAGCTTTCTTAGTAGTTGTTCGAACACAGTTTTAAATCAGTCTTTTCTCAACAAGGGCTGTTAATTTAACTTCATTAACAGCCGACAAGAATCCAAAGAATAATAACTCAATTCTGAGGCACAGTATTTCAGATAACCGTAATCTTACTGTGGTTGGCAGAATGCCCAGAAGCAATTTGCAGGAAAACTGAGAGAGAAATAAGAACCGATCAAACGTTTCTAGAATCAAGACGCGAAGGAATATGAACAAAGTTGTTTCCTGCAAATTGCCTCAGTCGTTGTTCTTCCTTAAGTAGGCTAGGGGAGTGGCCAATTAGCCCCAAGCCTTACTCTCGAGGAAATCTCCTCCTGAGGAGCCACTCCTGCCTTTTGGCAGCTCTGCGTGCTCAGGCATCGAGAAGAGGCTCCTCCTCTTCTTCCTCTTCACTTATGGGAGCTTCTGGAAGGCCCTGGCTGAATCCCCGCCTCTGGCACCACATCTTCTCCACCCTCATTGTCTGACTCAAGCGGCAGCTGCACAGGCTGCTGGTGCAGCACCACAGCAGCCTTCTTGCTGTCAGAATCAGCTACTAGCTGCACAGGCCGCTGACGGGCCACAACAATAAGACAGTCCAAGATCCATAAATTTAGACACTAATCTATGTGGAAGTATTGTGTTAAATGCCGAGCTAAAATCTACAGAAAGCATCTTCACATAGCCCGCCCCCCCCATTCAAAATGAGTCAGAGCAGTGTGAAGAGTGATGGCTATAGCATCCTCTGTAGATGTATTTCTTCTGTATGCAAATGGTGTTTATCAAATGTATGCGGAAGACCAAAAATGATGTGCCGGCAGACCAATTTCTCAAAGCACTTCATGATGATAGCAGTGAGTGCCACTGGTAATCAAAATGTAAGGGAAAATACAAGTGTTAAGAAATATTGTATTGCTTTAAAAAATCATTCGTATATTCCATTATGATAGGCACATCTGGAATTCTGAGGGCACTATAATCGTAGGGAATGAATATGTATAATTCACAAAAATGGCTGAGAAAAATGTAATGGCCTATAATTAAACAAAAATACCATGCTACCCACAGCAGGTGCCAAGGGAGAAGGTACATGGTTGACCAGAAGCTCCACTATGGTGATCCAGTACAATTGAAAAGAGTTTAAATCAAGAATCTGAAACACTGCTGGTTGTATCAAATCCTTCATTTGAAGGACAATTTCTTTGTATCCAAAATTTCACTGTAAATATATCCCCAAAAGTATTTTGATGGATATAGAAGGCAAAAAGGGATTATAAATACATGAAAGAATGTAAACCTGCAGTGCATGTTATATGTCATTCATATATAACATTACAAGATTACAAGATTAAATTATCCCCAAAAGAGAAAAATAAAATGTCAAGTTATCTGTTATTGCTTACCTGACAAACCACTGCCTGAAGCATAGCATCAAAGCCTCCTTCAGGTGTATCAATATTTCCAGAGATTTTCTGCTTATTAATTACACTTCTGAATTCTGATATTTTGTCAGTCAGTGATAAAACATGAATAAAACCATGCGGTGGCATACAATCAAGTTCATAATCACTGTTTGGAATCAAAGAATAGTAATTTGTAACTCCTCAAAGAATTTTTAAACTAGTTGTATTTGGCAATGTAGCACAGCAAACAGATATTTATAACATTATACTGATAACTTCTAGGCGTTATAAATGGAGATAGGAATTATCTTTCCTTTTCACTGGCAAATTTTTATTTAAGAAGTCTTCCGTTAATTCAAGTTTCTCACTATAACTTGGTAATATCAGCATAGTTCAGGAAAAAAAACTACCTAATTATTTTTGGCACGTGATATCCTAAGGATATGTAAGAGTGTAAGTGTCAATTATTTACACTTGGTGGCAAAGTCTCTATAAAGATCAAAGAAGTGGACAATTTTAAAAATATGTCTATTTTTCCTATCACTGAATGTGTACAATGTAGCCACATAAAATTGTGACTTTTATGCAGGAGTAAAATGGTCTCATAAATCCACCTCTAATTTTCTGCTTCAGAAGTGAGTTATATAAATCGGAAATATGCTACTTGAGAGAGAAAAATAATACAAATATATATATATTTTCTTTAAAAAAATGATTAATATTTTTTTAAAAAAATATGCAAGTACCCTTCTTAGTATCACTAAAAACAAACATCACTTCCATTCTCCTGCCAGTAACCTACCACCAAACATAGCATATGAAATCTAAGACTTTTAAAACTAGGGTGCAAATTAAGTTTGTTTCCAAAATTAGTATTACAATTAAATGATTTTTATCAACGAATATTATTTATTAATAGTATGAAATGAATGCATCCAAAGAGTATGGTAGAAAAAAGTTGATAATGCAACCAATGATGCCACTTATATTCTACTTTTTTATGCACATATGCATAAACAATGGCATTGTTTGCATCGTTACAATTGCTCCCTTGACTACTTACAGATAGTCCTGGAAAGCTGAAATTTACAGTTTTGGGATCAAACAAATACATTACCAGCCTTATCCAGAATACTGGATAGTCACCTATCTAAAGCTCCATATTACAATATGACAGTACATATTTACCTAAACCTTGTAGCAGATAAAGCAAATGCAAATTCACTCATTTGTTACTCTACTTTTCCAAAAGAGAATTAGACACTGAATGTATAAATGTGTTCCCACGAATGTCCCCTTGAGTTATTTATATCTATTTTTTAACAATACTTACCTGCACTGATTATGGATTCTTTTTGGATGAATGCTAATATAGGGTGACACTGTTTTATCTACATAGGATCCAAATCCAAGTTGCAAATCAATGGAGATATTTTCCATCTTCTGAGATAATTCAAATCCAACAGAGTTTAATCGTTCTATATGTCTGTGCATAGATGCAGATACATCAACCAAATAATAAAGATCAACAGGATACTTTTCCAGTGGATGGATTTTCAGCATAAAACTTGCTTCAGAGCCTAATAATGCAAAAAAGCAGATCTACAGTCAATACTTCTGGACATTCATATTATTTTAAAATCAAATCCTACGCAGAATATTTTTCCAGTTTTACTAGGTTAATTTAGTTTAGCTTTTAAAATTGTAAGTAAGCATTAAGTATGTGTGTTACTTACGCACGCACACACACACACACACACACACACTTTTTCAAGTCATTCCATTTTCTATGCTTTTCTCATTATTTTACTTACAAAGAGGCAGTTCGGTTGAAAAATTATATAATTATACAATGTATCACTAAGTATATATGTATATGATACATAATTATATATGTATCACTAAGTATAGAAATCTCCAAAAGGAGAAAATGCCCCAATTCTATTCCCTTTGTTCAATTATTTACTAATGGAATATCATCTAGTGATACCATTCTTCTAAAATGCTAAAAGAAATGTCTTCCCCCTTCCCAAATAATTTACCTTAGAGGCAGTTATTTTCCCAACAAAGGTGATTAAATTGATATGCATTGAACTATATTTAGAAAGACAAAAGTTAGGGTTTCATTAGGATCATGGTCCAATAAAAATGTTTGCATACCTTTCTTTTAGAGATAAAGTAGGAAAAAGACAGAAGAACAACTTGGCCAATACTAATGAACAAAAGTTACAAATGCATAAACACAGAGAACAGTTCCTAAGGAAATCAAAGCACAAAAGAAAGCAAATTTGGATCAAAAGGTTATGCTACGAAATAAGATATTTTATGATAGATTTCAACTTGATTATTTTAAAAAAAAGATTTACTGGGTGAAACAAATTTAATATTAAAACTTATGCAAGTTTTAAAGTATATAAATTACTCTAGCATTATGTGAAGAAATAATATTTATGTCTCAAATTGTGAAATAACTGCATTTAACAGTTCAGAATTGTGAATGAATCTATTTGTTGCTTTTAGCCATGATTAGGAAGTTGGTGTACACAAGTGGTGTACACAAAACAAAAACAACATGATGTTGCCTATCTCTGCCCCATTCAGGCATGCATGTAATACCTCCATGGGCTTAGAAAAGGGCTGGACTTTGTGTCACAACACTGTGATTATGATGCTGTTACTGTGAACCACTTTTTCCCTTCTTCTGATGGTTCTATGTCTATTTAGATTCACTGTTATTTTTTTAGTTCCCTGGCCTACTGCATGTGGCATGGCATTCTTATGGTTGGAATAAAAGCTATTATTTCAATGGTGGTTGCTTGATAGTCCATAACAAATAGGGGAACTGTTGTTTTCAGGAGTGACTCAACAGAGAGATGGAAGAATATAAATAAATAATAAATAAACAAATTCCCGTCTCTTACACTAGCACTGATGATGTTACCTAGTTTGGGTAATGAAAGGTCTGTAAGAAATCAAGCAAGCTAGAGAGCACCATGGACCCCTATTACATAATTTCCCTAAGGGCGGGGGGGGGGTAACTAAACTATAGCGTTAATAAGGATAATTCTCAATGAAATTTAATATATGCACATCTGCTCTCCTCGTTTGCTGTGGTCATGCCTTTAGAAAAAGTAACTGCTATCTTAGGTTATCAGCATTAGATATTTATGTCACTTTAACCAAAAAATAAGATAGGAATAAATATTATATCTCTCTCTCTGCTGATAGTTGTGCTATCTGGATGTTGATCAAACTATAAAATTTTATAGTTTTATAAAATTAAAAATTATTTTATTTTAAAAATGGATGTTTTGTATTCTAAAAGTATCATTAAGATAAATCCATTTTACATCAGGGTTGGCATTTTTTTCCATAGTTGGGGGAAAAGTACAACACTGTACTTTTATAGTAATTAAAAAACTGTAAGATATACTTTATATCCTCACTTATTACTGTTTCTGCTCCTTTGATAGAAAGTAATAAAAAGTAAATGAGATTTCAAAAAAAAAAAAAAAAATCCCTTAGCACTTCCCGTCCGAATTTATGAAACTCATTTCTTGTAGCAGAATTAGTAATAATCTACTTCATAACACTACTTCAATGAAATATTACTTCTGCTACAAGTGTAATTTCCTGTGTTTTGCTAATGATAATAAGAAAATTATGTAGGTTTATATAAACAGACAAACTATGTGGCTTTAGGCAACCCCTACCATTTCTAACAGGGTTGTTACAGGCCAGGGACATTGGGATAAACTCATCTATTTTATGCCAATTTTCTTGAAAGAGGATAAAATGTGAAATATGTTAGAACTTTAAAAAGCTGATTTTCAACGGACTGGAGATTTTTTTTCCTGAAATGTCAGCTGGCTCAGAATACCGCATTCTTTTATTTTCAGGCACACAGACTACTATTATAAGGGAATAGAATGGAATAGGATAATGAAAAGATTGGCCAAAGTAGCCCTGAAAAATAATCTAAATTTATAAGATCATTCTTATTGGCTGAAATCAACTGAAACCTCTTATAAGTCATCCACGGGTGGATTTTAGAGCTATAGCATGAGCTTTGTCATAATCAACAGCAGACCATTTTCATACTACTATGTGCACTTCTGCCATAAAGCAGTTTAAGTGCATGAAGTTCTATGTGCATGTACACAAATCTGGTACAAATGAGTTTATCTAATCACAGTTAATCCAGAGTAGGTTCCCCTTTGCAGATATCCATGTTCTATATGTACTTATAGTTCCCCAAGATAGAAATAAAACAATGATGGGCCCAGTAGCAAAGTGCTTTAACAGCACTATAGTTACCTAGGCTTTTATTTAACATATCTTTTTATACCAGAAACGTGAATAGGTAGACCTCAACTTATAACCACAACTGGGCTCAAAATTTATGTTGCTAAGCAAGGCAGTTGTTAAGTGAGTTGTGCCTCATTTTATGACATTTTCCCCACAGCTGTTAAGTGAATCATGAAGCTTTTAAGATAATCTGGCTTCCCCCATTGATTTTGCTTGTCAGAAGCCAGCTGTGAAGGTTACGGATGCTGATCACATGACCATGGGACAGTACAACTGTCATAAACATGTGTTAGTTGCCAAGTGCCCAAATTTTGTTCGTGTGACTATGATGATGCCACAACAGTTGCAAGCGCGAAACCTGGTCTAAGTCATTATTTTCAATGCTGTTGTAAGTTTGAACAGTCATTAAATGGATGGTTGTGAGGACAACCTATAATCTTTTCTTAATAGGGAGCAATTAGGTAATTCTCCCTTACTGACATGACTGTAGATGTATTAAGTTGGTAGAAATTTCACAATGCTATCTGAGCACATTGATGCATTTTAAAATTTCCATGCCCTGGCCAATGTTCATAGCTGATTGGTTATCTACTCTAGGATATTGTGTGTGATTTTGTGTGAAGTAGAGCAGTGGCCCCCAACCTTTTGGGCACCAGGGGCTGGTTCCTTAGAGAGAGGGGGCATGGTTTTGTGTGCCGCCCGCATCCCGCGGATGAGGCTTTGCTTGTTTGTGCGGCCCAGTTTATGGCATACCGTTGACTGATGCAGGTCCACGAAACCAGGTGGGGACCCTGAACTAGAGGATTCTAAAAGAATGGACCATTAGTAGAGGTACCTGCAATCAGTGTCAATTGGGCTACATTTGTTTCTTCTATGCTTTCTCCATGACTGCAAAAAAAGGTACTGGTATTTGCCTTAATTCTATGTATGTTGAAATAGCCAGAAAAATCTACATTGCTTGCAACATTCAAATGACATATTTGTTATGGTGGCTGTATTAATTGAGTTATCCAAATGCTGGGATGAAGAACTTTCTCTAGTACTGAGGAATGAAAGCTGTCACTAAAATTAGTACAGATATGCAAAAGGGGGTCTGCATACACCCAATGCAATGCACAATGCCATTTTATGTATTTATTAGATTTATACTGTGGTCAATTCCACATGAGTCAATACTAATCTTGCAAGGTGATGCCCACTGAAATACTATAGTTATGAAACCCAAAATTTTTCAAGTTAGCCTTGTAAATTGATTATATTGTACTTTCTTTGATCATAGGCAAAACTAGAAATTAGTCTTTCAATGCAGCTGGAATCATCAACTTAAAAAATATTATTGTAAGCAAGTTAATTTACCAAGAAGAATGAGGAGTCTTGGTACAATGCACTAGACCAATGATGAATTGTGTTGATGTTGAAAACAATAATATTTGGGTAGGGAAACTTTAGGCAGATGAATAACAGTCTGAAGTTCCCCTTCACTTACAAAGGATTAGGGACGAGGTATATGTTTGGCAAGTAAATTCTGCTACAGTTAAAAAGTAGCTCAGAGAAAATTCTTTATATGTATCTGGTTCATACATCTAGATTTTTGGAGCTAGATTTCTGAACAAACCAGAATTCAATATATCAATGCTCAAGTTAACCTTATGTCTTTACAAACGAAGTTCACCAGCTCTCAAACTTTAGATAACTCCCAGAGACTGAATCAGCTTGTCAGAATGGACTTTTTGTTTTCCTTAATTTTAATCATCAAATTAAATATCTAAATTTCCAAACCAAGAGCATTCCGAATAAACAATGATTTCTATTCTTGTCTGTATAAACATACCTTAGCACCAGTTTGGCATTAAAACAAGCTTATATCTACATACTCCTAACTTAAAGAGCAGATATTTGCAACAAACAAGTCTGTATTCAATTCTGAAAATATATTGCCTCCAATGTGCTTCAAACCTCCCGGGAGGTTACACGAGGCTGGCTCCAGGGGATTATAAATGCTTCTCTGAGTGAGGGTGTCTTTCCCGCCGCCTTGAAAAAGGCGGTTGTGAAGCCCCTCCTCAAGAAGCCTTCCCTGGACCCGGCTATATTATCAAATTATCGTCCAGTCTCCAATCTTCGCTTTGTTGCGAAGGTTGTTGAGAGTGTGGTGGCGCGACAACTACCCCGATACCTGGATGAAGTTGTCTATCTGGATCCATTTCAGTCGGGCTTCAGGTCACGATACAGCACAGAAATGGCATTGGTCGCATTGGTGGATGATCTCTGGAGGGCTCGGGACAGAGGTTGCTCCTCTATCCTGGTCCTATTAGATCTCTCAGCAGCTTTTGATACCATCGACCATGGTATCTTACTGCACCGGCTGGAGGGGTTAGGAATAGGGGACACCATGCTTCAATGGTTCTCCTCCTTCCTCTCTGACCGTTCGCAGTTTGTGTTGGCAAGGGGGCAGAGGTCGACCTCGAGGCACCTTATTTGTGGGGTGCCGCAAGGGTCAGTCCTCTCACCCCTTCTGTTCAACATTTATGTAAAACCGCTAGGCGAGATCATCCGTGGTTTTGGGGTGAGTGTTCATCAGTATGCTGATGACACACAGCTATACATCTCCACCCCAGACCACCCCAATGATGCCCTTGCTGTGATGTCCCGTTGCCTGGAGGCCGTGCGGATCTGGATGGGGAGAAACAAGCTCAGACTCAACCCCTCCAAGACCGAGTGGCTGTGGCTTCCGGCGTCCCAGTATAGTCAGCTAGTACCATCACTGACAATAGGGGATGAAATCTTGCTCCCCACAGAGAGGGCCCGCAACTTGGGTGTCCTCCTGGATTCACGGTTATCTTTAGAAGATCATTTGACGGCCGTGGCCAGGGGTGCCTTTTATCAGGTTCGCCTGATCCGCCAGTTGCGTCCCTTTCTGGATCGGGACGCCTTGCGCACGGTCACTCATGCCCTAGTTACCTCCCGTATGGACTACTGTAATGCTCTCTACATGGGGCTCCCCTTGAAAAGCACCCGGAGGCTCCAACTGGTCCAGAATGTAGCCGCGCAGGTGATTATGGGCGCAGCTCGTTACGCCCATGTAACACTCTCCTACGCGAGCTGCACTGGCTCCCGGTGGTCTTCCGGGTGCGATTCAAGGTGTTAGTTATCACCTTTAAAGCGCTCCATGGCTTAGGACCTGGGTACCTACGAGACCGTCTTTTGCCACCAATAGCCTCCCACCGACCAGTTCGTTCTCACAGGGAGGGACTACTCAGGGTACCGTCAGTCAAATTATGTCGACTGGCGACTCCCAGGGGGAGGGCCTTCTCTGTGGGGGCTCCAACCCTTTGGAATGAACTGCCCCCGGAGATACGGAATATCCCTGATCTCCGTGCTTTCCGCCGTGCCCTCAAGACCCTGATGTTCCAACAGGCGGGGCTAAACATATGAACATGTGAATGGTTTTTTAAATGTTATCTAATTCTGGGTTTTATTTAATTGACCAAACTAAGTAATAATTTTAATTAGCAATTTTATGATGTTTGTGTGTCTATATTTTTCTTGACTGTACACCGCCTTGAGTCCTACGGGAGAAAGGCGGTATAGAAATATATTAAATAAATAAATAAATAAATAAATATCCTCATATGCATCAACAGCTGCAACATACACCACAACATGTAACCTTATTGGTTGATCTCTTGAGATTCTCATTCAACTTTCTTCTTCCCACTGCCTCATCCAAATGGTTGATCATTGATTGCATTTTCTGACAATCCTTCCTAGTTCAAATACAGTGTGGATTTTACCCAGAGTCTCAAACTAATGAACATCCCATCAAGTGATCATTCAGAAGGCATAAAAAAATCACCTTGATAAGGGGTCCTCAACCCTAAGGCTGAGGCCTATCTGGAACCATGTGAGTGGTGAACCAGTGCGCAAATGCATAGCTTGATTTGCATAAGCAGCAGACCGACATGCGTGCACATCCTGTACAGTTCAACGTACACAAGTTGAGCTGCGTATGCATGTACATGTATGCTGGCTGCCATTATGCAAATCGAGCTGCGCACACTCATGCAGAAGCCCGCCGCTCATGCAGCCCAGTTTCTCTCCCAGCTAGGCTGCCAAGCCGCAAGGTTGGGGACCACTGACCTAGGTGCTTAAAAGAAAACAAGAATTTATTAAAATGCTTAAATCATATCTAAATATGCACATATAATAGTAAACTTTGCTATGCCATAACCATTGAATTTGCAAGCTGTTCCCAGTGCATTGTAAATTCAGCTTACTTTGTTTTCAGTTTGCTCCCACCACCTGCAGAATGCAGATCCTTTTTAGAGTTTGCTATCAAGTGAGTGTGAAACAAAATTGGAAATTGGGAGCATGGGAAGCTTGTCAGTGATCCCAGTAAAAAAGCAAGGTAGGAGAAATGCAGGTTCCAACCAATGAGGGGGGATGAAAGATCGGTGTGTGGGGTGGTAGTTTTCCAAGTTTGCAGAGCAGCTGGAATATTTTGCTCCTGGCAATACATCAAGGCTAGTTTGCAGCCAGCACTGAATGAATGACAGGCATTGTGCAGCAGAAGTGAAGAATAATGTTTACTGGTAGATCTCAACTTTGTATGTGTTTATGTGTATGTATTTGTGTGCGTGCACATGCATGCACACACGCACAGGCATTCATGCATGGGAAGGGAAGATGCATATTGGAATCAGAGTCAGGTTTCACACCTGGAAGAATATTCAATTTAAGAAAACAAAATCTACCTAAGAAAAATAGGCAATGTAAACAAAGTGTCATTTACAGAATTTGGATGTAGAGAGTAGTAACTAAATATAGAGTGATTCACTTTAATTATCCAATTTTGATGAATGGTTAGTAGAAATTAAGACAATAGATAATCGCGGCAGCCAGACTCATTAGCTATTTAAGAAGATGGCAAGAACATTAAAAATTGTTGGAACCAATTATTGTAAGTAATTTTATACCAAGTCCACAACTAACTGAATTAGTGTATCCAAAAGATTATGCAGTTGTAATTTTTGAATAAGTTAGATTCCTTTCATTTGTTTTCTCAAAACTGAGTGAATCTTTAGAATCTATTTTTTATTACGGAAAAACCATGTTAGAATCTTTATCCAAAGTCCTTTATCTTCAGTCTCCTAGACTGTGCCAAAGGCTAAACATAGTTTTTATATTAAAATAATATTTCTGATATCCAAACCTGGACGCAGGTGCACTGAAGCTTCTCCTGGTATGACTTGAATATTAGCCTCATTGCTGGGCACTGTTACATCAACTTTAGGACTTTCTATGAAATCTGGCTTGCAGCCTCTTTGGATTAAATGTAAAACTATGTCACATCTTTCTTTCAGCTTTGTTCCAGCCATGAAATCCTGTTTGAACAGGGGGAAAGTAAAATACATAATAAAAGTGTAAGAAGTTGGAGAACTTTCATTTCCAGAAAATATAATATCATATAAACAAAAAGTTATTATTCCAAACCAACAATAAAGCCAACATAACCAAACCATTTATAATACCACTGTTTTTAAAGACAGGGGAGATATTGCTTCCCATTGCAACAAAACTGCATGTGGGTAGGATTAAAGTACATATTCAGTCTATTTTATAAGAAATCAGCATCAGTAGTAAAGGTAAAATACATAACCTTAAGACCAAGTACAAATGCTGGTATTCATCTTTAATGACTGTAATAGTAGATGAAATTTTATCTAAAGGATCATTTAGAGTTACCTGAGCCTGGCAAATCTGAAGCCCCTTCATGTGCCCATAGAAGAAAATATGAACTTTATTGAATTCCTCATTAAAGAAATAAAAATTATTTCTCTCTTTTCTTTTGGAGAAAGCACTAAACATTATTATTTCAGTTTATTTTTAATTAGGAGATCATAAAGAAGTTTATTCCTACATGTTGTTTTGCCAACGGTTTGTTTGTTGGAATATAGAGACAACTAAAACCTTGAATAAGAATGCATCTTAGTGGCCTCTATCTGTTGCTGAGTCAAGATAGCTCCTTACTTTAATGAAGAGCTTTATTATATAAAGCACCAGAGAAGATAATTTTTATTTATTTACTTATTAAATTTGCTTGCCGCCCATCTCATTGTAATGGAGTGAGGCTGTTAAAAAAAAGAGAATGAATGACCAAACATGGGAAAAAGTTTAAGTTTGAGACTACTGTGCCTTTCGTGTGTATGTGCCCTCAAGTCAATGTTCAAGTCAGTTTTGTGTATGTGTGTGTGCCTTCAAGTCAGTGTTGACTCCTGGTAACTGGAATTTGCTAAGTGTGAGAAATCCCAGGAATTTCCCAAGCACCATTCTGTCAAAATTGAAGTGTTGCAAAATCCTACTGTATAAATGGAGAAGGAAAGGTAAATAAATAAATAAATAACAGCTTTGTATTAAGATGACTAATACAAAGAAACTGTTTACCTCTTGAACACACCAACCACATTCAGGACCCACTGCAAGACAGGCAGTACATGTTGCTGCATTTGATACGATACATCTGTTGTCTGCTACAAAAAGAAATAAACTATTAAACTAATTGCAAACATTCGAAGGACCAAGGCATAATCTATAAAATGTGAATCCTTGTACTTATGACGTCTTTTATTTTAGAACTAGGCAGCTCTTCTGGAAAGCATGAAGCCAATATTATCAGTCTTAACCCAAATAGGAAGTGATGCAATCATAACAAACAAAGAAAGACATTCATGATGAGTTTTTGATAGAAAGTCTTTTAGAAACTTAAAATTTGAAGTAAAGTTTTCACCCTCTTTCTTTTTTGAAAAGCAACCTATCAAGCAAAGACATCAGAACAATTTTGATGACTGGGTAGTAATATCTTTGTAATATTTTTTAATATTTGTTACAATATTTGTAAAATTTTTGGGAGATTGGGCTTGCTTCTTTATCCTTAAACCAGGGATAAGCAATGTTTAGCACTAGAGAAGCTATTAAATTACAATCGCCAGCATTCATGCTTCTTAAGGATGATTTTTGATCAACAGCTAGAATGCCATATGTCACTTACTCTGATTCATCCAGTTACATGCAAACTGCTACATGCAGCTTGGTTCCTGCTTAGTTCGATTATGGAAATTCTGCTACAATTATACCTTTTTCAACATACTTGTCAAACTGGCAAGCTGAAGAACGCATGGGATACATATTTCATAAAAATTCAGTCACTACCTAACATTACTATTACATCTATTGCCTGTCAACTTTTCTTACATTAAATCTTAATTATCGTTTGTCATAAATGAAGCATTTATGTTTCAGATTAAAAAGCTACTCTAATTTGGCCACTACTACAGTGACTACTACTGTTTATTTCCAAACCATATCCCTTGTATATTTGATATGTTGTTAGAAGTTTGTACTCTACTAAAGGACAGCATGCCATCAACTATTTTCATCCCTTTGTCAGAGGATACTGGAAGACAGCCATTGAAATATAATCTGTTTTGTGTTCAGTCACTTTGCAGAGTTTCAGTATAGCAACCATACCCATAGAAGATGAAAATTAAAAGGTGCATTTATTTTGAATTCTACAACAGAAATGGCAACATTTTGTTATTAAATGATAGGTCTCTTTTTTCAGTATGAGCCAAATATGAAATGAAAGGAATAAACCAAAATGTCAATGACTCTTTTCATTAAAAAGTGAATGCCAGTATATTAAAAACAATTTTGAAATTAGAGCAGGCCAAAACAGAGCCAGAACACCCTTCCAAAATATATTTTGGTTATATGTACTTAAACCACATGGCAAAGAGCTGGACATGAGCCACATGCTGATAACTTGATTACAAGAACTGCAGAATCTGATGGTTTAAATGTTTCTAAGTGTTCATTTCAGTCTGTTTATTCAAATTCATATTTGAAAGATAATCATGTTACATAATATTTACTTATTAGTTCAGTTTATATGCTGCATTATTTCTAGCATATGATTAAAAACTTTTTAAAAATATCACTTAGCTTTCTTCTATCACCAACTTTATATAGTTCAACAAAAGTTAGATCACTGAAATATATAGTGTCTGGAGACATATTATAGGGCAAAGTATATTAGTAAGATGAATCATTCTCAAACAATTAGTCCATTTAATTTTGTATGATTGCTATTCGTGTTCTCCAAATTGTTGCCCTCCCAAAGTGTTGGCCGATACCTTCTAATGTTTTCTTTCACCAAGCCCATAGTTGGGAAGGCAGGTCTTCCCAGTAAAGGGGTTAACTCTCCAAAATCCTAGAAAGGAGTTTTTCCCAGCCCTATTTAATCACTGTAGATTATAATTTAGCTTCAGGTTGCCTCCTCCCTGACTCAATGAGGATATACAGGGAATGGAAGATTAAAACATAAGAAGACTTGCAAGATTCTAATTATTACAGCTTATTTCATTAAAGTATTCCATAGTCTTACTGTGGGATGGGTTTTTTTTATATAGTCTGCTTCATACAGCTGACAATGGCATACTGTTTTGTTACTGCCCTCTGCTGAATTTTTAGCCTTTAGTAGGAAAAAAAACCCTAATACAGCTTTTGTCCAACTAAATTGTGTTATTTATATCTCAGAGTCTAATAACAAATCAGCTACTGCATATCTACAGAAGACAGCAAGACAAGCTTTTTGAACCATATTTGTTTTAAGATCATTATTAATAACTGTTGCAAAGCAACAAACATGAGTTAGCGTTACATAATTTTAAAAATACCATTAAAATATGTTCTGAAAATTTCTTATAGAAATAACATTTATATATATATTCACTCAGAAAATATTTTTCTGCCAGTCTACTTCTAAAGAATTAGAATTAAAGCATAATTAAATCAGTTATACCTTTTTTCTTTTTTTTTCTAAACCTAATAATAAAGCTGCAAATATTTTTACAACTTGGCTCAGTATAGAATTTTTTAAAATATTTTATTAGCAGAATCCAAACAAAATTGGTAGAACTGAATATCTATGTTGTCAAAAAATTAAGGGGCAAGCTTCTACTGGCTTTAGTTAAATAACCAATATGTATGAATAGGTATTTTAAAGCAAGAGAAGCCACATTTTGGCTCCCGTACATTAAACAGTCATATGTACAGTATGTATTAAACCCTCAGGCGTAGCTAGTTGTGCAATGTCAAACTATATATCGACTTGTGCATTCTAGGAGAATTACATTTCATTTCCCTAAATAAGACTTAATAGCCCAGGCATTGCAAGAATGAATACTGTGGGGGTAAGGGTGGGGAATGTATTGCTTGGGCAAGATAAAATTCAATGTAGACCTGATTTAGATTATGACATATATGCTGTGCAAGGCGCAGAATATTCAAATCAAATTCTTTATTCTGAAAATTAATTACATAGACTCTGACATTATAATTAGTTCTCTTAAAATCGGTCACTTATCTAAGACCAATACATGGTTATTTAATCAGCAGTAAGACATTTGATTCTCAAATCCTAGATCTGGAGCAGTGGTGGGAGAAACAAGAAGCTAGATCTGTCCAAAAAACAGACAGTTCTGGAATTAAATGTTTGCCTATCTCAATATCTTACAAGTTACTCTTATCTCAGAAAGCCTTAAAGTTACTAAAATAACTGTACTGGACAGACTTAAACTCATATTAAATGAATTAATTATGACAATAAGTACAATTTCTTAGCAAAATTATATCTTGCATTTGTGTAATGTATATGTTTTGTTTATTTTGATCAAACACTATGGAGAGATTCGTTCACATTAATTTTACTCCTGAAAAATTTCCTCATTGCAAGCAGATAATTCTTTTCAATCATCTGCATATATTTGGAATTATTCTCTCATTAAAAACTAAATATGCTTCATCAACTAAAATAATTCAAAATATGCTATTTTCACCCAAATGCACATCTCATGTTTTCTCCTGATAGAATGAATGTTGCTCATCTTTAAGCAAAGTCCTAGTATTAAACTGAATCTGATATGTATACTATTCAAACATGAAAATATTAATTATTATTCATCTTTGAAACATTCATGAAAATGTTTAGTCTATTTTGTTTTCCTTCACGATAATTATAAGCTTTTCTCATGCACCTTAATCTTTCTCTTGCAATAGCAATAGTTTCAGGAATTATAAACTGAAATAATTCGTGTAACACTTCTCTATTCATTCAGCTATAGCAATACAATTCTTTAACATTTCTTTTCTGTCTTGCTTGAGAGGCAACAATGAGTTTGAAATAGCAATGAATTTGGAGTTTGAGTTTCCTAGCAGGTCAAGAATATGTTCTTTCTGGTAAGTATAGCAAAAAGAAAAAAAGAAAAAAACTGCTAAGCTTTTTTATATCAGTCCTGCTTATTCAATCATGTTAGACTTTGAGCTAATATGCACTTGAATTCATCAATTGTTGACTGCCACGTCATATGATATTCTCATATACATAAATTTAACACTATTGTAGGTGGTATTATACTTTTCAGAGTCAACAGGAATACCACAAAGATTTCCTTGTTGGCTGTGCCCACCAAGAGACCTTTGAGGGAGTCACTGGCAAAGCCTCTGTAAGTGCTGCTGAGAACTAGGAAGAAACCACATTCCACCACATGCTGCTGGTTTTCTTTTACACTATGGTAAACATACCCTATTACTTCCAGAAACTTTCTTAAACTCTATGCAATTTGTTTAAGGAAAAGATCTGCTGACTATGCCCAAATTAACCCATTCTCATATTTATCTGTAATAGTTTGGCTGCAATGTAAACACGATCTGTTTATTTTAAAGATAAAAAGTATTAGAGGGTAAAAATGCTTGATGTAAAAAGAGAGCCAGTTTGGTATAATGGTTAAGGCAGGGGTGGTATTCACTTACCTTCACTACTGGTTTGCAAATGTGAGTGCGCTTGTGCGCTCTCTTCACTCGCGACACCTCTGCATATGCGCAGGACCTTCTGCGCATGCACAGAGCGTCAAAAACGGGACGTCCGGGCGGGTGGGTGGAGCTTCCCCTAGCTGCCACTATGGGTTCGCCTGAACCGGATAGAACTGGTTGAATATCACTACTGGGTTAAGGCACCAGATTAGAAAGTGGGAGACTGTGAGTTCAACTCCTACCTTCGCCAATCACACTTTCTCAGTCCAACTCACCTCACAGGATTGTTGTGGTGATGAAAAATAGGAGGAAGAAGGTGTGCTGGATATGATTGCTGCCTTGAGTTATTTGTGAAAATAATGATACAAATAAATAAGTAAAAGTGTATCTCTGTGTTGTAATCTTAGCTATCATTCTGCAAAGTGTGAACATTCTTTTCTGGTTTATACTAATGAACTTTCTAATCAAATTAAGAAAATGAAACCCTAAATTTAGATAGAATAAATTAGTTTAACTTGAGTAGCTGAATACTTTGTTTCAGAGCTGAAATTACTTAAATCTTATGCCTGAGTAAACCAGCTTCAAAAATGTGGTTCATGGTCCTGGATCATTGGCTTAAATTGTTGTCAGAATTGTGTCTTCATGTTCAAATTTAGACAAA